ATGCACTAACTGCTGTGCAAATGTTAATGGTGTTCTGAGGAACGCACCAAAGCGACTGAGAAAAACTGTAAATAAGTGTATTTAACCAAACCCATGCTAGTTTTTCAAGCTGACTTGGTTATATTGAGCTATTTTTCAGAACATGTATGATATGTAAAAACAAGCCAGTTATGTTAAAAGTTTAGTCTTTAATTCAGCAGTGTTGTGATTTCTATTTCAGTGTTACATCTCCACAAAGTGGCCTACGGGTGTGAGTGTGGGGACCAGTAACAAATGGGTCCGGGAATGGAATGAAAAGAAAAACAGACAGAGGTGTTCTATAAAAATATAGTTTTATTACGAACAATGTAGTTTTATTACAAATAACCTTAACTTAAAGAGCCGGCAACACCGTTTTACCAATAATGCCAATGAAACAAAGGAAGCAGTTGCAACAGCAAAAGGAAAAACTACCGAACAAATAAGGGAGGCACTTCCCACACTTCTTACTTAACTCCTCACCATGGGGAAACACTTCCAGGGACCACAAGCCCATCTACTTACTACTCAAAGGAGCCTTTCTAAAACCTAGTTTTTAATTTTAAAATAAAAAAAAAAACCATGAGGGGGGAAAAAACCCACCTCCCTTGCAGGTCATCCCCAGCTTATATAGCCTCAGAGAGGTGATTGCTGACTGGGTCCTTGGTAAACAAGGCTAATAAAAAGCAGCTGTGTCCCGGGGAGAGAGAAGTGAGAGAGAGACAGAGGGGTGGTGCAAGAGAGGAGGAGAAAGAACACCACACCCACACAAGGACAGTTTCAGGAGGCCCTGCTTGGGCTGTAACATTCAGTTTATTAATTTGATCTCCTATAGCAGGGGTGTCGCACTCCAGGCCTCGAGGGCCGGTGTCCTGCAGGGTTTAGATCTCACCCTGGGTCAACACACCTGAATCAAATGATTAGTTCATTACCAGGCTTCTGGAGAACTTCAAGACATGCTGAGGAGGTCATTTAGCCATTTGAATCAGCTGTGTTGGATCAAGGACGCATCTAAAACCTGCAGGACTCCGGCCCTCGAGGCCTGGAGTTCGACTCCTGTGTCCTATAGGCTTATTGGTGCAGCCCTCCACAATGGTCTTGTCATGATCTGGGTGAGTCTGAGTAATTTTCCACAGCATCGGCTCTCCTCCCCTGGGTGGAGCCCTCCTCGCTCCTCACCTGTTGGCAATTACTTCAGCAGTATTTATGACCAGTGCTCACATTGAACCTTCACCAGATTGTCTGCTTACCATAGTCAGTTCCCTGCCTCATATTTTTGTCTTGTGTTCCTCAGCGTGTTTCCACAGTGTGGAAGTCGAAGTAATCGGTACCCTGTACTCTGCAGGTGAAGATGCCTGTGCGCGTGTCAGGATGACCATTTGTGTTGACCACAGCTTTTTGGTAGGTTATTTTCTGATACACAAACACACACATACACAGAGGGAAACTATATACTTGTAATTCTTTTGACCAGTGGTTCTAAAACTTTTCACAATGAGTACCACCTCATAAAATAAAATATATGGCTCTTGAAGTACCACCCTTGTAAGTGACATTAAAGTACAGTAGTATAGGCCTATTTAACACCACATACAGTTTACACAAGTTTACACAGTTTATTTCTTATATGAATGTTATGTATTTTAACTCTCAAAAACAGGATGTGACAACTAATAATAACAATTTATGCGCAAAATGCTGGATAATGATGTGTTGATGCATGCTCAATCAACCAGGTAAGTAAATCCCCAAAGTTTGATGCCGTTCATCTGGTGTTTTCAGTGGGAGAAATGTTTTGTCACTCATCCAAGTGACTTCTTCAGTCTCAGCTGACTGCAGGTTTCCCCAATCTTATAAACAGTACATTGCATAATGACTGAAACTAGCACCACTGAAGGAACAATGGGCTGGGAGGTCAGTTCCTTGATTATTAATATTCAAAGTCTCATGACCATTGATCAACAACCACTGATCAAAGCTCATTGATCAAAGACTACTGATCAATGGCCATGAGTACCATTTACAGAGAGTTGGGGAATGGCTGCAATCACAGCATTGTAAGATGGCAAAAGGAGCAGATCTGACAGAGACTTACAATGCTTCTACATGACAATACTCTTAAAAAGGTGTTTGAATTCCTTGAGAAGGCTCATCTAGCACAGCATGAGAAGTCTAAGACCAGGTAACAAAGGAAGTTTGACTTCGTCGGAAACCAGCAAGCAAAATGGGGAGAACGTCATCAGTGGCCATGGAGAGAGGATGCCACACCGACAATGTGGACAAGTGGGTGAAGAATTTGTCTGACAGACAGCTAACCCAAGCAGAGAAAAACATCCTTGCCAAAGGGTTGAATTTTGCTGTGATGCCGAGACATATCCCGCTAGTGGAGCTGATCACAGCCACAGAAACAGCAATTCGAAACAACAATATTGCAGACGTGGAAGCAGAGAAACTACGGACGAAGGTTTCAGCCTGTCACAGCAATGCGAAGCCCCCAGCATCCAACATCAGCATGGAGGAGAGGAGACAATAACATTATCATCCTTCCAGCAGACAAGGGCAGGTACACAGTATTGCTAAACCAGAAAGACTATCATGAGAAAATTTTGTCACTCCTCAGCAGGGATGGGTACTGGTATCGATGGCACCGGTTCTGACATAAACGGTAGTAACCAGACCGAAAAGCAGCGCACATTTCGGTGCTTTCTTTCGGTGCTTTTTTCCCTGAGATGTAATAAACTTTGAATTCTAGCCAATCGTTTTACCTTTGCAAGCGTAGTAGGCGGGCAGAATTTGAATGAAAACAAAATTAGGAAGAAAACAACAGAAGTAGAATAAGGACCAACAGAATTAGTATGAGAAAAACAGAATTAGAATGAAAACAACAAAATTCAATGAAAACAACAGAATTTGAATGAAAACAACAGAATATGAATGACAACAACACAATTGGAAAACAAGTAGAATAAGGAACAGCAGAATTTGAATGAGAAGAACAGAATTTGAATGAAAATAAAACAGACTTTGAATGAAAACAACTAAATTTGAAAACAAACAGCAGAATTTAAATGAAAACAGTGGAATTTGAATGAAACAACAGAATATGAATGAAAACAACAGAATTTCAATTAAAACAACAGTATTTGAATGAAAACAACGGAAGTTGAAAGAAAACAGTGGAATTTGAAAGACAACGGAATGTTAATGAAAACAACAGAATTAGAATGACAACAACAAAATTGGAAAACAAGTAGAATAAGGAACAACAGAATTCTCAGTTTGCCCCATACCCAACTCTTGATTGCCAAGTGCCCAGTCAGACTGCATGCCCCTCCTCAGTGCTTCAAACTCTACCTCTGCACACTATAACTAGAATAGAGTTAGGCATTTAGTCCAGCAGTTCCTGCTAGAGTATGCATTTTGGGCAATTTGAATGCGTCAATCCACAGACAACTGGACCCTGCCACACAGAGGAAAGACCGTTTATGCCCCATTTTCTAATTTGGGGTTTGTTCACAATTTTCATTTGGGATGACCTATTAGGTGGCCAAAGTCCCTCTAATGTTGTGGGAGTGTTATAAACTTACAAACACTCCTGCTTCAAGCCTGACACCCTGGGGTTTGAAGGGTTAAGACCTAACCCTATGCCAAGCTCCTCTAAAACTCTTCAAAATGTTATTTCTTAGAAGCCACTGACATCAAGACAAGCTAAAAGATTACACACATTCTGACCAGCACCAAAGAAAGTGTTCCAGATACCAAAGATCCCTTTATTAATTCTTTCTCAAGAGATCTGACAATGCTTTTTTTTTTCCTTAGGCAACTGTAGTGATTCACGGCTGCAGGATGGCCAGCCATGTATTCTGCAGCTTTTACTTCTGTTATTTCTTTTCACAGCCAAAGTCTTTTTCTTTCAATTTAAACTTTTCATTTTTCTTAAAAGGTCTCAAGTGTAATCACTTTTGCCTTCCTTCCTCTTACTTTCCTGTTACGCTTAATGACATTTATTACAACTTTCTAATTACTGTGTTGTTGTTATTATTATTATTATTATTATTATTATTATTATTATTATTAACATTACACTCTAAACAGTAATTATTTTATTTAAGCTTTCGTTTACTCACTGAATTATATTTTTCTCAACTTTTCTCTATTGCTATGTCTTATTTCCCCTGTTCGTATCTTTATAGTTTGTTAAATTATTTTAAATTTACTTGATAACAAGTTTACTTGCCTTATCATTTTCCTCCCAGATGTTTATCTTCTAATATTTTATTCTTACATTTAGAGCTACTTTCTTCATGTTTCCCATTCTAAGAGCCACTGTGCTTTTACATTTTTTATTTATAGTTCTCAGTTTTACCCTTTTCAGGTGAGAGATGTTGGACATGAAGCTAACATCAGGGTAATGGATGGTGCGTTGTTGCTCATGTGAGTTATTTTAGGGCCTGCCAGATCCACCTCAGTGTTTGCCCACTGATAAATAAGGATGCTGAATAACTCTGTCTTTGTCCTGTCTGTTGTCCTGTCTGACCCTGCAGTGACTCAACACAACAGACACGTAGGATACCACACTGGACCTTTACAACCTGGTTCACAATACAACTGACGTGAGCATTATTTGGTTTAACCAGTTTTTTATTGCTGCTTTTGTTACACAGGTCACAGAGACCCAGAGAGCCTGTTTCTCATGCTTCCTGTGTATTTTCTAAGCATCTGGCTTCTGGTTTGCAACCAGTTGGTTGTTGAGTTGGTTCAAATATTTAAGAAAGCATGCTCACACAGATAATCCTGAGCTCTGAGATATTATCTTTAGTAAAGCACAATTGTTCTTGTGAATAAGTGTTAATTCCAATTCTTTTTGTAAGTTGCTGCAGAGTCATTTTGGTGTCCTCATGCTTTCTGTTTCACTTTTCACTTCACTCTTTCATAGAATTATGATCTTCAACTAAACTATACATCTATAACAATACACAAAATTCATGGTTCGGTTCGATAATTTGGTGTCACAGTTCGATATTTTTTTGATACAAAAAAATGTTCGTGCCTTTTTAATTTGTCATTTATTAAAATTATAAATAGCTCAAAAGTACAGTTTTTTTAATTTAATGTTGCTGAAACAACAAATTGATTGAGAAATCACTCATCTTTGAAAAATTACAGAGAAATGGCTCTTTCCAAAATAAAAGTTATACTCTACGCTTCTTCTGGGCTATATTCTCAGCAGCATATTAAACAGATCAGGTCCCCATAAGGAGAATCATGTGCTAACAGCTGTCTAAATGACTCGGGTAAAGTTTGTAGCATGCGTGCTTGTTGTTTTTATCTGCTTCCACTTGTCTTTGCACTAGGATGATGTCAGCGTAAATATGCAGCTGTTCTCCACAGAACCAGCCAAGGTGTACTCTCAGTGGCAGGGGAACAATATGGGAACCGCACCACCAAGGCTGGAGATGGAACAATACTGGAAGAGCATATGGGAGAAGGACGCAACCCATAACGGCAATGCTCAGTTCTCCCTGCTAGTGGATCTGAGGGCAGACCACAGCGACCTCCCTGAACAGGGTCCAGTAACCATCACAGTGGCAGACATCCAAGAAAGGGTCTCCAGTATGAAGAGTTGGACAGCACCAGGCCCCGACATGGTTCATGCCTACTGCCAAGAGTGAATGAGAAAATGATTCACTGATCCACACCACCAGGATATACAGCAATGATATCAGTATGCCAATCGGACTGGAGAAATGTAGTTGGATGATAATAAGGAGAGGGAAAGTAGTCAGAACTGAGGGGATTGAATTACCAGAAGGCAACATTGCAGACATAGAGGACAGCTACAAGTACCTGGGAATCCCACAGGCAAATGGGAACCATGAAGAGGCCACTAGAAAAGCTGCAACCACCAAGTACCTGCAGAAGGTCAGGCAAGTCCTGAGGAGTCAGCTGAACAGTAAGAACAAGATCCGGGCTATCAACACCTACGCCCTGCCCGTGATCAGGTACCCTGCTGGGATAATAAGCTGGCCAAAGGAGGAGATAAAAGCCACTGACATCAAGACAAGGAAGCTCCTGACCATGCATGGAGGGTTTCACCCCAAGTCCAGCACCCTGAGGTTGTATGCTAAGCAGAAGGAAGGAGGCCGGGGACTGGTGAGTGTCAGCACCACAGTCCAGGATGAGACAATAAACATCCACGAATACATCAGTAAGATACATGGAACCCAACCATACATGGAACGCCATAACCAAGTGGCTGGCATAGTATGCAGAAACATCTGTGCCGAATACAGCCTGGAAGTCCCGAGGTCAAAATGGGAGACGCCCCCAAGGGTGGTGGAGATTGACCAAGATAAGGTCCTGTGGGACTTCCAGATACAGATGGACAAAATGGTGATGGATAACCAACTGGACATAGTGATGGTAGAGAAACAAAAGAACACGGACGTAGTGATAGATGTAGTGGTTCCCAGTGGCAGCAACATCTGAAAGAAGGAACACGAGAAGCTCAAGAAATATCAAGGGCTCAAAGAAGAGCTCGAGAAAATGTGGAAGGTGAAGGTAACAGTGGTCCCAGTGGTAGTCTGAGCACTAGGTGCGGGGACTCCCAAACTAGGCGAGTGGTTCCAGCGGATCCCAGGAACAACATTGGAGATCTCTGTCCAGAAGAGCGCAGTCTTAGGAACAGCTAAGATACTGCGCAGGACCCTCAAGCTCCCAGGCCTCTGGTAGAGAACCTGAGCTTGAAGGATGGACCACCCACAGGGGCGAGCGGGAAATTTTTATATATACAGTGGGATGCAAAAGTTTAGACAACCTTGTTAATAGTCATTATTTTCCTGTATAAATCGTTGGTTGTTACAATAAAACATTTCAGTTAAATATATCATATAGGAGACACACACAGTGATATTTCTGAAGTGAAATGAAGTTTATTGGATTTACAGAAAGTGTGCAATAATGAGAAGTTGATAGGTCTCGGCCCTGTCAAGCTAAAAGAAACTGTTGAATCTTCAGGATCACCTTTTAAAAGATTTAAGTGTATTTTACCCTGTATGGATAAGAGAAAATCCAAAATAACTAGCGCACCCAATTCTTGTTTTATAGAGTGATTAAATATGTATGCTGTACAGTCATTCCACCCTGGAAAAAGAACAGTTAAAAAAATTAAAAGCCTTTGAATTTCATGAGATTAATGCGCATGATGACTGTGTACTTCTGACCTTAACTATATACAGCAGTCATCCCAAGGGATTTTATACTGTAAACTAAGGACCCCAGAATATTAGAGAGAGAGAATCCAAGTGATCAGGTAATTCTCTATGCGCACGCATATGGTAACTGTGGGGGGGAAAGGGCTCCTTTAAGAGGAAGGACCAGGACTGGTTCTGCTGGTTAACGGATCTTTGTTAACCAGCAAAATGTAGCATTTGTAGCAGAGCTCACAAGCTGCATACCTTCTCACAACAATATTTACAGTATATTTGTGAATTGCACCATTCTGTAATCCCGTTTTTCCTAAAATGCAAAACAGAGTCCTTTCTAATAGAGAAGCATGGCACTCAGAGAATCCTGAATTGAAATCTGTGGGGGATTTTTGCAACAGTAAAGATGTGGTACCTTCACAAGGTAAAAAGGCTTTTAACCCCCAAGCAACCAAGTTGTTCTAGCAATTAAAATATCAGACTCGAGTCATTTATGAGTCAATTATATAATATAGAGTATAATAGCACAATTTTAACATTAATATAGACATAAACTGGTGATTCTGTAGCACTTAAATCAGTAATATTCATTTTTTTAAACTGTATACTGAAAAATGTCAAAATAAGATTCCTAATTATGGAACCTTTACAAATAAATTACATTACAATAAAGCCTATATTGTTAAATGATGGTAAATAACTTTGCACAAGCTTCCATGACTTTGGTGTTACATTTCTCACACAGATGGGCCACTTCCTGCTTAATGTCACAAATCCACACATATGTATACACTGCTGGGATCTTTGGAAGTCCATTTAAAAACTCTATTGTGAAGCAAAGTCAGCAGACATTTTAAGCTCTTTTCATCAGATATGGTTTGATTGATTTGTGTGTGTGTGGGAGTGGGATGCCTAGAACTACAGGGGTCCAACATACTGTCCTATATACTTGTACTGTGTTTATAAATATACTGCTGTCAATATAACATTTATAGAGTTATGATCTGAAGTGGCTTAAACCAGAAATCCCAGGCATAGAAGAATGGTAAAACATCACCTTCTTCATGATACTCCAGGTGGTTAAAGTTTGAGGAAATATGGGCAAAATGGAGAGAATGCATCACTTTAAAATGTTACTCCTTACTTAAACCCAGAGTTATTATATTATCATATTAATATCATCCTTTTTTGTTTATTTAGTTATACACGTCTTGTCTGTTAAAATGAATCACCCAAAGTTCTGTTCTGGTACCTTTTGACCTTTTTTCTCCCTAAAATAACAGGAAAAAAATAAATATTGTGCTGCAAAAAATAAATAAATAAATACATTTAAAAACAAAATAAGGGTTTGACTAACTGACTCTAAATAAAGTAAATTTTGAAAGTAAGGGGCGGATGATGATAATGATAATGGCTTAACCCAGTGGGGCATAAAAGTCAAATGAGTGAAGCCACCATGAGTAGAGAAGGTTATTGCTCCACAGGATATAGCTGTGTGTGAGATATGGGATAAAAGGCATGCTACAGCCTGCTCCACCATATGAAGCCATTCCTCCATCTGCACCTGTGCAGACCCCAAAGAGCATGACAACGCCTGCGGAGTCTCACAAATATGGCTCCTACAACTCCTAGGTAAACACTATACAGTAAAGACCCTCTTTACTGTGATTTATATCAGCTTACCATCTGAACGTTCAGGGGAAGCTGGATCTAGAAAAGCAGGTGTTTTCATGGCTATTAAAATGAAGCGTTGCACTAAATTCTGCTGTGTATATCTGGGTGCTGAATGCTTAAAAAGAAATCCCAGAAATAATCAGCAGGACAGGATTTCATTTGTATGATTTTTTTTTAATGCCACCAGCTTTATGGATCCCACCTCAATTTTAGGCAGACCTGCCTGAATGACTCACTTGAACCAGCAATATACCTAAACACAACCATTAGAGCAACTTTGGGACCTATATATGTAATTATGCATAATAACTTTGACATAGAGTTCTAATGCCTAATTCACTCTGTGCTAGCCTGTAGTGAATGCTGCTAAGGCAGAGCTGATGAGGAAGCAGGAGGAGCTGGCAAAGAAACCCCAGGGCCTGGAGAGTATAGAGCGGAAGCTTGTGACACACAACCTCGTAGCAGGAGCAACGGGAGTTAAGTGTAGAAGTCAGAGAATTTGAAACCTTTAGATTTAAAAGACCCTTCTCCAACATTATTTTTTATTTCTTACTGTGTACGTGATTATTGCAATTTTTGAGCACCCACAGCTTCACAAGTAAAAGAAGCCAGCCACATTCATTTTTTTTTTAGAATCAGCTTTATTGATTAAGTATATGCACAGATACAAAGAATTGGGCTCCAGTTTTTTTCATTGCTTTGTGTACTCAACAGAGTTTATAAACAGATAATAACAACATGGATATAACACATTTCCAGACTTATATGTGCAACGGAGCAGAGTGCATGATGCTGGATTCATTATGAAATGAAGAAGGGTGGATAACTGGTTACTCTATATAAAGTACCTGGCGATAACACCAGCTAACCTAATCTGCTTCATAAAAGCACCTAAGGAGCACCTAAGGCAGCTGATAGTAGCTGAAGTTCCCTCTGCGCATTGAAAAAAGACTGACTGAGGGGTGACATTGTGCTGGTGTCAGGATTCAAAAAGGACATTGCAATGCTGGAGCTTACACTACTCTTCAGAAGAAAGAGTACTTCTTGTCACTGATTGCTCTTTTTTTTTGTCAAAGAAATGTTCTAATATCCCCAAAAGTTGATTTTGTTCCTCTGGACATAGGGTTTTCAGTGGGAGAAATATAGTCATCCATTGAAATTCTTAAATTTACTTATGGCTGTGTTTTCTTACCCGACATGTAACATAATAACTGAAACAGTATCAAAAATATTTCTCTATAGATTGGCTCTAACAGATGTGTTCATACATTGTAACACCTGTTAAACAAATAGGAAATGAACTGATGACATCCCAGTGACACCAAAGTGTTTTTTGACTTTATTCTTCCCCCTCCCCCCAAGACTTAAGACTTGCTAGTTGGAGACAGTAAACTGATTCGTGCATGCGTAACTTCTCCTACACTGTCTGGCACAAGAGCTTGAATATTTGTACAAAGACTCGCGCTTCACTGTTAGATCAAAGACTTGGGGACACTGACATGGGGCATCTGCAAAACAACCAATCCAGCTGGTTAAGCTTGCAGAAGTTCTCCTTGAGTCCTTCAAAGAGAAATTGTAGAATTTCTCCACACCTTGTCTCTTAGATTAGGCCAGGAAAAAAGTGTAAGAGGAGCCTTTAATATTTCCTTGATACTGACACTTGACACGGATTTTGAAAGTGAGAGAGAAACTAAATGTTGCTAAATAGAAGGGAAACAAAACAGAAACAAGTTCTAGTTTTGTTCTTTTACAGTTTTAAATGGATAAAGCAGAGATGTCAAACATAAGGCCTGGAGGCCAGAATTGGCCTTGCAAAAATTCCAATTTGGACCACTGAATGGCTTTGGAAAACATGATGGAAGGCATAAATATTGGACTTCTAACTGCATTTTGTGAAGTTTCACAGAGGGGATTTTAGAGGGGACTGTTTGCTTTAAGATGTAATTGCATCATTTCTTAAGAGCTGATGCAATTCAACTGACTGAGCTGTCACAGGGTGTATCCAGTAAAAACAGCCTGTAACTGCTTGTGTCATTAATAATTATAATTTCGATTTTTGCAGAATTATCAGATTTTGAGGACACCTGGACCTGTAAAACTGTAAAAGTGTTATTAAGATTACATTATGCAGTTTCTGTGTGAAAATGCAAAGAACAAGAGATTTAAAAACAGTGTGGAGCTTTTTTAATAACGGCCTGTCACACTCTGAAATCTTGACCAGGCAGCAGACGACAACAGTACCTGTGAAAAATGGCATCATATTGCATCAGCCAGAGTCAAAAGGGAGAAGGATTGTTTGGTTTTGATCCCTAAAGTCAGGCTGCAGTTCTTTTCCTTTTTATTCATAGTCTCTTTGTTGCTTATCTATGTCAAGTCTGCACAGGCACGCTGTTCTTCAACCTGACCTCTTCCCTGGCCCTGTTCTGCATCACCTCGTCCAGTGATGCTCGCTCTGGTCTGTGCCTCGCCGCCCTGTGGGTCGTACTTTTCACTCCCTGCTCCTTTATCTGCTGGTATCGACCTGTGTACAAAACCTTCAGGTGTGTTGTCAGTTGTTTTCCTTTTTGGTTTTTGCTCAGTACACTCACAAAAAATTGTCTGAGTTGTTAGTTACTGTGCAGACAGCTCAGTAATTATATTGTTCCCTCTTCTAGGAATGACAGCTCCTTCAACTTCTTTGCCTTCTTCTTCATTTTCTTTGCCCAAGTGGTTGTCTTTGTCATCATGACCATCGGCATCCCTGGTTGGGGGTTCAGGTAAGGTACCTAAAAAAACATCTCTTTGTTATCCCAGCTAAAAACTAGCTGGCGAGTGGTTGCTGGCAGTCAGTAGGTCAAACTGATAGAAAAGCAACTATTGCATTAAAACCCAAAAGTATATGGCTCAGTTAAAGTCTAAACAATACTAGAAATCCTGCTCATTTGGAAGTATTAAGACTTGGATCTTATTTTTAACTATAGAGAAAGGTAGTCCAATCATATTGGCTAATGAACTAATACAAAATTCTTTCTGAATCTTTTGAGCAATGTGATTCCTACATTTGTTGTTCTTGCCCATGCACTTTGTTCATTCTAGGTGCATTGCCGGTGCGATCATGATGATCAATGCCACTCTTTTTACTGCAGAAACCATCATGTCATGTTCAACTCAGGTTGAACATGACATAAATGTCACTTAGATAACTTAGAAATGTTCATGTTTGGTTTATCTTAGTGTTTGGCTGAGATTAAAGTTAAGCTCTTCATAACTGAACCGTTTTATTTCAGTTTAGAGTCTTACTTGGAGAGCTGTCACTATATTTTAAACCAAATATTTCACCTGTCATATCCCCTGATGCAATATGTGCTGTTCTTATTTAAACAGCTGACTTTGAATTAAATCTAACATTAAAAATATTTAAATTCAGGAGGAAATTCAGGAGGTAATAAAGATCCTGAAGCCTGCTCCAAAAATAAAAGAGTTCTAACATCTCATCTGTTTGTTTTTATTCAGGCATACATGTATACTACTTTTATTAATAGCGAGAATAAGCGTGTGTTTCAGTCATAATAATTGTGTTTAACTGTATGAAGCTTATTAGACATTATGAAAAAGATGATATGTAAAAGCAAATTTTGCCAACGCGCTTGATACTTTTTAAATGACCTTTGTTTTCTTAAAAAAAATAGACAGGTAGATAAATAGATTCAACAAGAATTAATTTCCAGATGAGTCCTATTCACGATGGTATGGATGACACTGGCTCTCTTATAAAGTGTAGTTTTGAGACTGACTGCATCAGTAAGAGTTAACGATATGCAGTTGAATGAAAGGAGCGATTAGCATTTAAAGTATTTCTTATATTTTGAAAGGAAAAAGGGAAATGTTTGAAAAGTAAAGAAGGAAAATATGAAGAACAAAACACAAAAATTCACAAACCCGATAAATGCTGATCGGATGTATAAAAAAAAGTATTTAAAAAACAGATATGTGGTGCAAAAATAACTACAGAAAACAACAAAGACACGTTTAATGTTTATTCTTAAGCATTTTGAAAAAAAAACTTTTTTTCACACACACCCACCAATTGTATAACATTCAAAAAGTGCAAATCAAACGCCGCACATGTAAACTCACTTTTCTGTACATTTTCCCATTTCTTGTTAAAGTTAAAATTAGCCAATCACATGACAGCAAGTCAAAACATGTAAGCGTTTTATCATGTAGACACAGGTCAAGACTACCTTCTGAAGTTCAAATCAAGCGTCAGAATACCCTCTAGCAGATCGTTACGTGGAGAAACAAGTGTGCTGATCCACACTGGTGTTCACTGTTCACAGTGCAGCACAACATCGTTCAATATTTAGTATTTACTGTTATTTGCTGTTAGCTATTAATGCGATGGTGTTGTGTTTATTATGCCGCTCTCTTCTTTTTTGCTTGTTTTCTCTTTTTTCCTTTTTTTTCTCTCAACGGTTAATTGAGGAGATTTATATATTTTTAAGTGTCCTTTCTCACTGTCCCTCTTCCCCTCTGGTTTTCTTTTCCTTCATTCTTCTTTCTCCCTTTCCTATCCCCCAGCCATGTTTGTCCCATCTGTGAGAACTGAAAAAAAAAGCATCAAAATAGGAAACAAAGGTGATTTAAGGCAGGCTAATTTCAGAAACTGCATATATGCTGGGAATTTCCCACACAAACATCCCTGATATTTACAGAGAATGGTCCAAAAAAAGAGAAAATGTCCAGTGAGCAGGAGTAAAACTGCCTCGTCGATGTCAGAGGTCAAAGGAGAATCGAGAGCAATTTGCATGATGCTGTCACATTAATATGGACAAAACAAAGTATCAGTAAGATGTACCTATATAAGTGTCTGTTGACTGCAATAAAGTCTCAGTGACAACCAAGGCTTTAAATGAAAATGAAAAAGTCTACAGCCTCCCCATGTGGTCATTTTATGAAATGGCACCAGACAAGCAGGAAACAATGCACTTACTCTATAAGTGTATTTACCAAACCCATGCTAGTTTTTCAAGCTGAATTGGTTATATTGAGCTATTTTTCAGAACATGTATGTAAAAAGAAGCCAGTTATGTTAAAATGTTATTCTTTCGGATGTGCAGAATGCATAGACTGTACCAACTAGCAATAAAATAAACAAAGGCATCACATGTAATCCACCAGGCATGGGCTCTTTTTCCAGGAAGCAGCTCAAAGACTGTTCAACATGTTTCCTGCAATAGGGCCCAGAACACCACATAATCCTGTGTTCGTTGCTTCTGTCCCAGACACATCAGACACAGCCAATAAGCGGACTGAACGTGCCACAAAATTTATAGCCTACAGACACTTTTCAGTTCAGTTGTTTGTCCACCTGGACTTTTCTGCAAAACCAAACACCAGGAAAATGTTCCAAGTTTTGCAAACTCATACGCTGATTTGGATCAGATTAAAACAAACTAAAAGACTCCAAGACTTCTGCAGCGATCAATGACTACCAGTCAAAGTTCATGTTACATTTTATCATTCAAATGTTAATGAAACCAGTGTTACTGTAAATACAGCAAATTAGGCATAGGATAGAAACAGAGGAGGTCTGTCACATAATTGATACACACATTTGTGCTGTGTATGGGGCACACAGATGAGACAACAGTGAGTTCTGGGTGTTTTAACATGTTGTATAGTTTCTACAAGTACAAACAACTTGTGTATGGTGCACATCATTAAAAAGTGTATTCTAATTATCTGAACTAAAGTAATAAAAAGTGCATTTAACTTTAAGTAGAGTAGTTTTACTTCAGTATGCTACATTATTGCCTCTTTTCAGCTTAATTGTTAACACTGTTGTTGAAACCGTGCTGTAGTAAATGATGTCTTTATATCTATGTGTCTCTATCACCCTAACATGGACCTTATATAGAACTTTTATATTCTAGCTAAGCACCCAAAGTACCGTATACAACTTGCCCCATTTACCCATTCTTGGGTAGCATCCATACAGTTTAGAAGAACCAGGGATTGAACCACTAACCTTGAAACTAGTCGTTAACCGGCGCTACCTCCTGAGCTACAGCCACCCGACATCACAAGAGAAACTGAGCTGATAATGTTAACTTGAAAATGACAAACCTTAAGCAACCGTTACTTTTTCTGAAATGTGGGTTGTAGAGAGATGATCAGAACCGAGTTATAAAAAGAAGGAAAAGTGCATATGTCTACATTAGCATAATGTTAGCCTTGCATTTGAATTCCAGCATATCTTGCTTCACAGAGTTTTTCTTCTTTTCAATACTGTTATTGGATGTACTAGTTTTCCAATATACCATGGTTTACACCTCATTAATTCAAAACAAACCTGACATAATTGTTGATGGCAATACACCCCATTCATTTATTGCTGTAGGATAAATCAGCTATTATCCTTCTTAAGTAGGTAAATAAGTACTTTGAACATGATTGAAACTCAGGCAGAATTTCCCACTTCTTGATTTCTGGGGGGTCAAGTCTACAGATTTTACAGCATGCAAACATTAGTAACATTAAAACCACTTACGGGTGGTGAGAAAACCATTAATCTTCTCATTTCGTTGCAGTTTTCTGCTGAGAAACCTTAGGTTCTGGGTCATGTGTGTGATACTTTGACACATTACCTTGGTGTCTGTCCATGCACAGAAGGACAATGCATCTGCTTATCAAACACAACAAACTTTAACTGAGATAATCTCTTGTTACAGAAATTTTGTCTGGTAATATCTTCAGTGGCATGTCGTTTAAAGTACCTATGCATGGAAACAGCTTGTCAGTGCAAGAGTGTGTGAAACTCTGTAAGTGTGAGCCAGTATCAGGATCAAAGAATGACAGCTTTCCTCTGTTCCAGTCCAGATGAACTCTGATCCTCTGCAGCTTCTTTTTTACTCGGAGAGCAGACGGTGGGGCTCCCAGTATGCGTGTGCTGTATTTACCATTGTAGAACTCGATTTGCCAGAATCCTGATTTTACCCGCTCCCTTTTCTGAATGGATTCGGCTGCCACTCCAACAAACCAGGCTGTGTTGTCTCCCACTTCAACATCCCAGCTGTGGGTCCCTGAGTTAAAGCCCTCCCAGCCGTGGACAGAACGATGATAGTCAGTCCTCTCTGGGTTTTCGGGAAGCTTCTGTCGCTCTCCGTGACTTACACTTGTCAAATCTTCAGAGAGGATAAATTCTGGGTTGGCAGTGTTTGGATCCAGAATCACAGGAAAGTAGGAGACCATTTTCTTCATTTTGTTCCAGATGTTGAAGGTCAGGTTGCCCAGGTGTTTAGCCACATCTATCAGAGCTCCTGTGGCCAGCTCTGGATCATCCAGTAGGGGCTGCTGTTGGACTAACTTCACTGCATCGTTGTAGTTCTGCAGGAATGAGACGTCTTCGGCTTTCAGCTCTTCCTCCGTGGCTCTAATCGTTTCTGAAAGAGCTGCTATCTCTCTGATCAGACTTTCAATCTTCTCCTGTATTGTCTTAAACTTCTGCTCCTCTTCCTCCCTCAGTGCAGTGATCCTGGCCTCCTCTTCCTCTTGTAGAAACTGGTGCATCCTCTTAAAATGCTCTTTAATCTGTCTCTCTGTGTGGCGAGCCTGGACCTTAATGTGTTCTGCTGTTTTATCACACTTTTCTTTAATTTGTTCAAATACTTTCAGTTTCTCATGTAAAGGCTTCAAGGATTTCTGGAGCCCCCTTTTTTGCTCCTGTGCAAATTCTTGGATGGGTCTAAACCTGTGGTTGATATGCATTTTTGAGTCTCTGCAGATAAGACACACCAGCAGCTGATGGTCCAGACAAAAGAGTTTGAATTTTTCTGAGTGCAGGCAACAGAGAGCCTCTGACTCCACAGAAACCCTCTGATCTCTCTCCATTTGAAATGCCTTACACGCCTTTGCTAATGCCAGGTTTCGAGGTGGGTCACTCCTCGATGATTTCCTTTTACAAAGAGGGCACTCATGTACTGTTTTATCACCCCACCATGTCTGCAGACAGCTTTTACAGAAGCTGTGGCTACAGGAGAGGACAACAGGATCTTTAAAAATATCCAAGCAGACAGTACAGGAGAGGTCCTCCTCAGACTGGAAAGCCATTATCTCACTGAAGCTGAAAACACGCCAGGCAGAAAGCACAATGCGACAGCAGTCATTCGTGGCTAATCTCACTCCTCCAGAAAGTTCCCGGAAGATCCCAGTCTCTTGTTTTTCCTTCTTAGAATCACAGATGGGATAGCAATTTAAAGTTGCAGTACTCACAGTATTTGCTGCTGTTGCTTTCCCCCCTCAGGAAGTCGTGTGTCTGATCTGAATGAGATAATCGTTCTCTCCCTCTCAGGGCGTGTCTCTTTCTCCCTACTGGATGAGCAACAACCGTTTCCAGGTATTTCTTAGGTGACGTTTTTCCAGGTAATGTGTGTCAGACATTAAGCCACTATGTCAGGGCACAGCACCTTAAATATAGTTTCTGTATTAGACAAGACCAACAAAAAAAGCTCCTCCCCTTTTTGGTAACAACTAAAATAGAAATAGGTTAGGCACTTATTTCTGCTGCATTCAGGTAAGGTATGAAATGTAGCACCAACTTATAGTTTTATGCAATTCCAGGGACATTTGAAGAGAAAGACACAGTATTTTTAAATGATAATAGGAGAATTCTGCAAACATGCTGTAGAAGTATAACTGCCAAAAAAAGAAGAGAAAATGAGCTGAGGCCTGTGCTTTGAAGCAGGATTCCTTGTTAGTCTTAACCCTGTCTTTTCTGTACTATGATGGTGGTTCACTTCTTACCATTGTAGAACACCACTGTAACTTGTGCTGTTGCTCTGGACCAGATTAGGTTTCACATTAGAGGTCAGCAGATATGAAATCACTGCGTATTTACCAATCAATTCTCCAGAAAATAGTGTCACGCTTCCTGAAGTTCCTTCAGACTTTTGTGGGGAGGGTAAGAGGGTTTAAAGTTTTTGCATTTCCCTGATAGGCATCAGTAATGAAGATAGATTCTTAAATCAAGGAATAAATTTGCATCTATTTTTTTTGTTGGCAGCAAACAATTTTACAACAGTTTTATTTTTCTGTAAACATAGTCTAATAGGCTATATGATCCTAAAACAGGACACACATGCTGTATTTCCTGGCCTCATATCAAATTTGCACCCAGATTAAGCCTATGTTTGAATTCAGTTACATATTTACTGTCAAACCTTAAACTGCAATGAGTCTGCAGCTGAAAGAATAAAACATGATAGTGTAAGACTAGCTCCTCTTCTAGCACTCTGCTTCACTGGGTTTATGATTCGTGGAGTACTACCAGACTCCATGCTGTGTATTTTACTTGTACCAGTTATGAAGGATAAAGCTGCAAAAGTGAGCTGTCTGGATAATTATAGGCCGATTGCACTAGCCAGTATTTTATCTAATGTGCTAGAAAGAATCTTGTTTGACAGAGATAGTGTGTTCATCTCTTCCCTGGAAAATCAGTTTGGCTCCAAAAGCACGGCACTGGGATGTGCATATATGCACTCAAAGAATAGGGCCAAAAATTAATCTGTCCTCATGTGTTTCATTGATGCCTCTAAAGCTTTTGATCGAGCGAACCACAGAAAACTTCTTGATAAATTGAAGCAACGGGGAGTTCCTCGATACATTGTGAGGATTCTGTCTTGCTGGTACACTCGTTAGAAGATGCAGGTTAAATGGGAAAGCAGTATTTCTGCCCCCTTTGTTGTTAGCAATGGTGTCAGACAGGGTGGGATTTTATCTCCAATTTTATTTAATTTATATGTTGATGATTTGTCCATACAGCTGAGAATGATGAATGATGATGATGACATATACAGACAATGTTGTAAGCTCTATGTGCAGGCAAATATTATTGCACGCAAATTCAGCTTTTGTTCACTTCCAGTTAAAGTGGCTTTGTTTAAAGCATATTGCACACTGCTATATACTGCCCCCTTGTGGCCATCCTACAAACAATGTAGCATGCAGAACCCGCATGCTGCAACTTCACACCCGATCAGATTTGCACACTGTTAGACCTCTGCTTTACCACCACAGACAAAAACATGGCTGTGCCATGGGCTCCCCTGTGTCACCTGTTGAAGCCAACTTTTACATGGAGGAAGTGGAAAGAAAGGCTCTTGGCTCTTTTAAAGGGAGAGCACCCACCAGCCACTGGTACAGATATGTAGACAACACCTGGGTCAAAATCAAAACACAAGAAGTGGAATCCTTCACTGCGCACATTAACGCCGTGGATAAAAACATCAAGTTCACCAGGGAAGACACAAAGGACAACTGTTTGCCTTGGAGTGACCAAACACCTACTTCACAAGCGCATGGCACAACATAGAAGAGCCACCTCCACAGGACAAGACTTGGCTGTCCATCTGCATCTTAACGACAAAGGTCACTCTTTTGAGGATGCTAATGTTCACATTTTGGACAGAAAAGACCGATGGTTTGAAAGAGGAGTGAAAGAAGCCATTTATGTCCATTGTGAGCGACCATCTTTGAACAGAGGCGGGGATTTACGACGCCAACTGTCTGCCATCTATAATCCAGTTTTGGGATCCCTTCCCAAACGCCTTAACACCCACTCACATCCTGGGCCATCTGACCTCAGGAAATCACATGATAGGGTGGGGCCAGGTTTCACAATGAGCTCACCCGAAATTGTGACCCACACCCGTTTTCACACCTTTGCTCATGTGATTAGGTAGAGGATCATCAGGGGGTCCTTTTGTCCCTCTTTGGTAAACTCCCACTGGGTTTAAATCTGGGACTCTCCGCCATTTGACCTTAGAACGGAAGAAGCTTCTCGGATGAGAGGTGAAACGTCTTCAAGCAACTTAAAGAAGTCCAGACGCTTTTCTTTCCAAGCTCCTTAGACTACGATGACCTGGATGACTGAGAACCTTCACAGACACGCAGAACCTGCATGTTGCATATAATGATGCAATGAGAATCCTTCGTAGGATACCTAGAGGCGGTAGTGCCAGTCAGATGTTTGTAGCTGTGGGTGTTTGGATTTTTAAAGCACGTTTAAGAAATCTGATGTTCACTTTTAGGGAACAACTGGATGGCTCTAGTAACAGTATCATTTTAGCACTCACAGATCCGACGGTGAGTGGTCCCAGTTACTCATCTAGTCTGAGGAAGCACTGGCTGAAGTGTTTGTGTATTTATTGATTTCTTCTAAGTAATTGTGTATTTTATGTATATTATGGTTTTATATTTTTACAGATATTTAATATTTTGTTATTAAGGTTTATATGTTGTGTTTTGTCTTGTTTCTTTTTTTCTTTTCTTTTTTTTATTTGGACTATGGACATAAAGTCTGTCAATAAAAATTGAATTGGAAAAACTAGAAATTGAAACTGTCAGCAGCAGTGGTGTGACAGAAGAGGGTGCTAGAGACAGGATTAGATGATCTGCTGTGAGGATCCCTAAAAAGAGCAGTCCAAAGAAGAAGAAGTAATCTCTTCTGCCCGAATTTTACTTCACCTTCTTGGATTTTCTGTTTGGATATTTTATCACTGGAATGCACAGATTCTTCAAAAGTTGAATAAAAGATAAGCCAATGAATGGAAAACTATTGGTTGATAAAAAAAATAATAAAAAAAAATAAAACACAATGAAGCTACAGATATTTATTTACAGTTAAACTTGCTACCATTGCTTTAGCAAAGAAGCTTTTGTTGCTTATAATGATATAACATGAGATATAAGAAATGTTCCTGCCACAACCACAAGTCTGGTTTGTCTTCAGATTGCTATTCATGACAATATTTATGTAAGTATGTAACATCAGCCCCACCACATACACACACTTGTCAAGACATACAGTATGCATGAGAGATTATAAGAAACACACACCATAGAATAAATACATAAATGGAAATTACAGAACAGAGAACCGTAGGAGGTGCAAACTCATAAGCTAATGCTACATACTTAGTGTATAGCATTGGCTGAGTGGTGTTGTGGTGGAGCCTGACATACACCCCACCACAACACCACTCTGACCTGGATAAGTGGAACGGATGGATGGACAATTGTAAAGCTACTTGAACCACAAAGTGTTTAAAACATCAGCAGACTAATACATGATCAGTATATTCAGTATTAGCCAACACTGATTTTTGTGGTGAAATGAGATGCCATCCCTTTATTGTATCAAATGAATATTGAGCCACTGTAAAACTAACACAAACAAATATTGAAAAAAACGTTATAATGAAAAAATCCCTTGATTTTTACAACAAAAACAAAACAAAAGCTATAACACAACTTTTTGTTTTAAGAATTGCCAATGCATCCAGACATGCACGTCGCAATTTAGCTGCTATCTAAAATGCCAGTGGACCAGAAGGCATACATACCAAAATCCAAATAAGCTAGTCGCTTACATTAGCCTACATTGGATACAATATTACTGAAAGAAATATATTTACATGATGTGAATTTTATTGTGAAATGTCCATTAAAGTAATTGACATCATATTCAACTCAGACGTTTTTTTCTTTCCCAGCCTAACATACCATACAAAATGATCTGACCTATTCAAACTCAGTACAAAATCTTAAGCATGTGTCATTTAAGTAACATTAGCATGCTTTCAATATTAGCTTCATCAGAAGTCAAGAACAAAGAAAAGATCTTTGAATAAATAAAATGACCTATAGTATTTGATAATCCCATCATTTTCATTGATTAAGCAGTTTTACTGTTGCAGAAACCTTCAGCGGAAGTATTTTTAGCTGGTGTTCTTTCTTATTGATGAAGTATGGAAACAGCTTCTCCGTGAAAGTGTGTATGAAGGTGTGTATGTGTGTGTCAGTATCGAGATCAGAGAATGACAGCTTTCCTTCGTCCCAGTTCAGATGAACTCTGATCCGCTGGAACTCCTTCAGTGGGTGAATAAAGGTGTGTTGTGATGGGGAGCATGCTCCATATTTATCTTCAGTTAGCCCAATTATCCGCCAAAGTCCAGATTTTATTTCACTCTTTCTTTGTACAGACTCTGCTGCTACACCCAAGACCCAGCCTGTAGAGTCTCTAACCTCAACATCCCAGCTGTGGGTGCCTGAGTCAAAGCCCTCAGAGCCCAGGACAATGCAATAGCAGCCAAACCTCTCCGGATTGTCAGGAAGCTGATGCCCATCTACAGCTCTTACGCCAGTCAGATCTTCTGATAGGATGAGCTCTGGATGAGCTGTGTTTGGATCCAGAATCACAGGAAAGTAGGAGACTATCGCTTTCATCTCATTCCAGATGTTGTAGGATAGGTTGCCCAGGTGTTTGGCCATATCTATCAGAGCTCCTGTGGCCAGCTCTGGATCATCCAACAGAGGGCACTGCTGGATTAATTCCACTGCATCGTTGTAGTTCTGCAGGAACGAGACATCTTCAGCTCTCAGCTCCTCTTCCGTGGCTCTGATTATTTCTGAAAGAGCTGCTATCTCTCTGCTCAGACCTTCAATCTTTCCCTTCATCATTTGACTCTTCTGCTCTTCTTCCTCTTTTAAAGCAGTGATTCTGGCCTCCTCTTCATCTTGTATAAACTGATGCAACCTCTTAAACTCCTCCTTAATTTGTTTCTCTGCCTGCTGGGCCTGGACCCTAATGTATTCTGCTGTTTCATCAAACTTTTCTTTAACTTCTTCAAACACTTTCAGTTTCTCCTGTAAAGATTTCAAGGATTCCTTGAGATCCTTTCTGTGATCTTCTGCAGCTTCATTAACGGGTCTGAAGCTGTGGCCGAGATGTATTTTTGAATCTCGACAGACGAGGCACGCTGGCTGCTGATGATTCAAACAGAAGACTCTCAGTTTCTCATGGTGCAAACTGCAAACAGTTTCAGAGAATGCAGAAGCATTTTGATCTTTCTTTTGTAAGAAGGCCTCACACAGGTTCTTTAAGGCTGAACTAACCGGTGGCTCACCCAGCAAAGGTCTTTCCTTACAAACCGGACACTCTTTTATGGGTTTGTCTCTCCACCAGGTCTCCACACAGGTTTTACAGAAGCTGTGGCTGCATGCCAGGACGACAGGAATATCAAAGATGTCGTGGCAGATAGGACAGGACAGGTCCTTTTCTGGATTATAAGCCATTCTCTCGTTCTCAGGTGAAAGTAAAAAGCTACAGCGCAGAGCATGAAAGAAGGAAGTTCAACTTCACTTTCTCTTTGCTTGTTTTTCTTCAGTCAAAGGCAGGTTGAAATGCAGGATTACGATGCTGTGTTACGTTTACTTCTGCTGTGAAGAATTATTTCCCCTTTCCTCTCAGTTGGAGCCTCTCTTCCAGTGAACAATAGCTGAGAGAAATACATTTCCTGTGTTTTTTTTGCCCTAGGGTTAGAGGTGGAGCTTCGCCCACCCATCAGTGTGTTTCACTTAAAGGAGCCTGTCACACTGCACTGCCACATAATGTAAGCAAATATGTCATGGTAGAGTAATAGGATGAGCTCTGTCTTGCGAATTCAAACCTGATTCCTTTACCTTGTCATTACCATGTTTCGTCTTCTTTTTCCATGACAATCCCTTTAAAGGCTTCCAAAGTACAATGACTCCTTCTGCTATTATGAATACATAACTGTTTTTGTTTTTTTGTTTTTTGTTTTTTAATGAAAGCTTTTAATGAACAATGTTAAATAGAGGTGGAACAAACTGTGGCTCATGAAAGAGGCCAAGATGTAGGAAATGAAGGTAAAAAAGTGCAAGAAAAGCAAATGTCAAAGTCAAGTAAAGAAAAAAACAAAGGAGTCCAGCAGGAATTATAAATATTTCAGTGTGAACTTACACAGAGCAGTAAAAATACAAATATACAAATCCATAGATTTGATTAAATTTACAGGATTGTGGGAAAAGAGGCAGGGATGCTCCGGCTTGGTTGTCCCACGTGTGGGACTAATAAAGGTTATCTTATCTTAATCACAGGGCCAACACAAAGAGGCAGATAATCACTCACAGTCACATTCACATGGCTAATTTAGAATGAATGAGGAAGGAAGTAAGCCAGAGTACCCAATAAAAATCCATGCAGCCAGAGGGAGAACCACACATGATTGGTGCAAACCACCGACAAGTCTCCAAACGAAATGAACCAAGAACACATTTGAACCTGCCCTCTAACGGACGTATTACTGCAAAAAAAGATTTGGTAAGTGCTCCTTTAGGTTAGTAGGAAAAAAGCCTGGACAAGTTTAAGGAGAGGAGATTATTTGGGTTGTAGTTGATACTTTGTTGGCGTTAGTGCGCCTTGGTCATCATTGAGCAGGTGTCTGAAACAGGAAATGAGTGCTGGTCTTTCTGTCATGGTCCATTTTGATATAGTTTCTTTTTGCGTCTTGTTTTGAGTTTACCACCACTGCTGGGTGGAAAAATGCACTTAACCCATTCACACAGTGAGGCAGTGGGCAGCCACCAATGCAGCGCCTGGGGAGCAGTGTGTAGGGACGGTACGTTGCTCATGGGTGCCTCAGGGTAGGCGTTCAGTGGATTCGAACCCCTGACCTTCTCCCAGTTTTTACCAAAACATCATCAGGATTGAGGTTGCTTGCTTTGTTGCAGCTGTTATCTGCTGCAATCTCTTCTGATCGGGTGTCTAAATAGGAGCACAAAAGCAAACCAGTCCGACAACATTTTTTTGTGCTCGGTTAAACCACAACTTGGAAACAATAAGTGGCGCCAGGGCGGGAACACTGACAGTTAATATCCACCCTGATGTGTGTGGACTCATACCCAGGCCTGTGAACAACTGTTCATTCTTTATTTTGTTTATTAGTTTTCCACCATTAGCTGAGTCTGAGCCTCTCCAGATCCCCTTCTCCCCGCCACACACTCCAGCGTTTCGAAGGATTCCCCAAGTCAGCTGATGCATTCTGCAGAGCGTGTCCTCAGTCTGCTCCACTTGGACATGCCCAAAACATCTAGGAGGCGTGCAGGCTAGTCGAGTACCCAAAACCAACTCTGCTCAGAGGCAGTCCTGAAAGGATGAGCACCTCACCCTATCACAACAAGACACCTGCCTCATTTTTTTCTATGCTTACATACCTAACTTTTTTTTTTTTTTACTTAGAGGTTTTCTAACTTGTCCTTGTGTACTTAAAGTATTACATTTATACCAAAAGAAAAACTGAATGCAGCCTTTGTCAGAATAGATTTATAAATGGAACGAACCAAAGTGAAAGAAACACTAGAGTTAAAATCAAAATAGTTATATAAATTGAATGAGGAAACACATATTAGGCATAGTTTAATAAATGTAGTTAAAAAGACACAACAAGCACAGTAAATGTCAGGTGCAAGTATCAGTCACAGTACAGATGATTCTCTAGACTGTTGTTGAGCTGACGCATCAACTACTTCTTGTATGTGTAGCTTTGCATGATTCAGTTAAAAATAATCCATATTTATTTTGTGCTAAGCCTCTGTTCATCCCCTGTCTGAATCAACTTATTTCAACTTCTCTTCTGATTGGCTGCACCTTGCAAATGGAAGGTTTGAGCATATTAGGAGTATCATCTCTGATTAATGTCATGTTGATGAAAGGGTAGAAAGTGTTTAGGTCGTAAACATTCCTTGTACATGACCTGAAGTCTTTATTTAAAACCATATATGACGGCTTAGATCCTTTAATTCTAATGATTAAAACTCCCTACAGCTGATGGTTAAACTGAAGAAGCTGCTTCTATAAGGAGCATATCTGGCAGGAAAAGGCATCACTGGAGACTCACAACTGCTGCATGGAGTCAGTGTCACACCCACTGTGTTTTGACTTCTAGTAAACCCTTTAATTTCCTTTTACATTTGTTGGCTGGTACGTGGGTTAGGACAAAGTGTATATGAGTCACTGATAGAGTATTCAAGGTGCAGTATTGATGTAAAGCTGCAGGTATAGACTCAGCTCAACGGAGACGGGGCTTTGGAAAGCAGTGCTGTAAAGACGGAGACTGAACCTGTTAGAACAGGTTTCCTGTCTTCGTTCCTCACACTAATGTGAGGGATCTCAGTGGGGAGGATTTTGAGAAGAGCTTACTGATTTGTTAAAATACGTCAGCAGCAGCAAAAAAACAAACTCCAAAATGTTTAATGTTGTTTAGAAAGGTCCTCAAATAAGAAAAACAAATGCAATAGAAAAATTAAAATCAAAAGATACATTTCGACTAAAAATAAAAATAAACACAGAAAAAAATCATCTGATTTAATCAAACACTAATTTAAAAACAGGTTAAAATGTATTCATGTATTTTGGAGTCTGAACAAGATTTTCTTTTACTTATTTCAGGTTAATCTTTCATACTTGATTTCATTAATTATTTTATGTATTTATGTCCATCCTATCAGTTTCTCCATAAAGGTGAATACACCTGTTGTACAACTCAAACAACTATCAAACATTTAAATTGTCCCGTGGGGAAAAAACATGGATTATTTGCAGAAAATATGAACTTTGTAGTGTTTCATGAAGGCCTCAGGCAAGCCGATTTGGAAAGCTGCCCAGAGTTTGTTTATTCAGCCTCACCTCTGGTGCAGGTGCCCACCTCTCAATTTTAAATACATGTAGACATTGAGGGTTCTCAGGAGGGGCCGTGCTGAGGCCAGCTGCTATCTGACAGAGGGTCATTGGTACCATGCCCCTTGTATGGGGTCTTCATAACCCCATTCTCTGTGCGCCATTTGGGGCAGGGTGCGGGAGAAGGAACTGGCCGTCTGGTTGGGGTCTGGGCTGTTGGGCCTTCCTGCTGCTGCAGGACTGGGGGCAGTCTGCTTGTCTCCACCCCAGAGTAAATGGAACCATTTCCTGGGTCTGGGGGTGGATTGCTCTTCTGGGGGTCCCTGGACCTTGGGGTACAGAGTATTTTTGGGGAGTATGAGTGTGTGTGCAGTGTTTAGTTCTGTGTGCCTCCATGTTGGATGAGTATAACTGAGCCTAACATGGTTCCCAGTTAAATACCTTCTTCAGGAACAAAAGGCAGTACACAGCTGTTTCACACTCCCTTGCTACCTCCCAGAGTCCTCAAAGAGACAAAGGTTTCTTTCTGTTGAGCTGTCTGCTTCCCCCAACGTCCGTACTAGACCCCACCATTTGTCTTACTGTATGAGTGTGAGACATGTTAAAATCCAGTGGCACCAAGGCATTATACGATAAAATAATGTGATTAATATATAAGTAAAAGAAATTCCTATACAACGCCTATCTTCCCCAACTACGCTCGCTGCAAGTGGCTGATGCTCCCACCCGTTGGTGGTTCTCAGTGTCCGGGGCTGGGTGCTCGGGTAGATCGAACAAACTATGACAATCAAGTGGACCAGTATGGCAAAAGCAATAATGGTCCACTTGGAAAAATGGGAATATCTGTTGGGAATTTTTCTTGGCCTTCAGACAATAATTCTGATTGCTATGCTTGTCCTCTTTTTGCAGACATCATGAAAATAGCATCTTTTAACATTAAGAAGTTTGGAAAGAAGAAAGTGTCAGACCCTGATGTCCTCGAAATCCTGACTAAGGTAATAACCAGTATAAAAGCCCACACATACTTTCACCTTACAAAACTGTACATGACCTGCAGGTCTGGCTGCTGCTTTCATTAAAATGTCTGATAATGTGACAAAATAGTAAGCTTTGCCTTTTTGTCACATAAGAAGACCGAGGGCGATAACAATGTAGAAAAGTAGTCCAGCCCTCCTACCAATTATTAAGTATTTAAGTAATTAAGTATTATATAAAAACTTTCTATTAAATAGCTGAGTTGCAAAGTGGTAAAATAAGTATCAGGACTCACTGTTTAAGTAAAAATGTAATCCTATATATGCATCTGAAAATATACTGAAATACATGGAGTAAGTTGTATTTTGACTTGTGGTTTCTTGCTGTATCATTGAATCACTGGTTTTTACTTTACTTTTATTCTGGTGATGAGGTTACATTTCCAATTCTTTGCTTAAACCCATGTTTTATTATTGTTATTGTATTAGATCTGTTTCATATTTAGTCAACAAGCCACTGTACAGGTCAGCCGCCCTGAGTGTCGGCTGTTTAGGAACCACAATAGCAAACACACAATCAGGGTGTGTTAATTTAAACGTGGATCCACTGGCCTGTTGTCCCTTCAAGTAACCACGCTCAGTGGCAGCTTGCCCTTCATTCACAGAACCACCATTACCTCTATAACCACACAATTTAAGTCACTCAGCATTTCTCTGATTGTTCCCATCTCTGTCTTTTTTGATACCTCTTCAGCTTTATTGTTGCAACTCAGAATATGTACATAAGTATTTTTTTTAAAAACACAGAAAAATGTCAGTTTATATTTTACATATCTGGAAGAGCTAAATCTTAACTGAACAATTATCTTTAAGGTAGTAACGCATCTGATCAGTTCAGCTTTTTTTCTCTCTGTTTCAAAGATTGTGTCTCGATATGACATCATTCTGATCCTGGAGGTGGTGGACGCCAGCAGAGAGTCCATAGAAATCTTCATGAAAGAACTCAACAAGTAAGGAAATGCTTTGTTTCCAGCATCATCACTGTTATTATCATTTAGGGTGCTCGTGTTTAAGCATGATGATGGTGGCCCAAAGAATAACAATTTTCTCATGGTAACCAAAAATGATTACGATTTTTAAGGATTATTATATTAAAGAATATTTACACAGTTACTTCTGAAGTTATTTGTGTATTATAAACACAATGGTATATTTATTTTTTTAAATAGCACACTTATTGGCAGCATCTGTATAATAGTATTATGCAATAATATTATTATCAGGAATTCTTTCGGCTTCAATAATCATGTATTAAAGTCTGATAGCGTGACAGCTGTAATGACAACACTAAAAACTGCTGATGTTAACAATTTATGTTGTTAGTCATGTTCATCTTATTGTCAGGGAAAATGTAATTTGGAAATAAAGTTTGAATGAATGTAAAAAATTCAACTTTGACCTGCTTTTTGTGTTAAATGAAAAGGTAATGTTTCACTAAAGCGTTGCACATTCATCCTGAACCAATTCTTTTCAGAGAATCAGAGGACATAACATGATTTAATGGACCAAAATTAAAGAATTATACAAAATTTCTCTCAACTTATATCTTCTCAGAGTCCACGAGGGATACACCTATAACATCAGTGATCGTCTGGGCAGTACACGCTACAAGGAGCAGTTCATGTTCATCTACAAGTGAGAGTTCACTGACAACACACATCCTGTTCATTTGCAGCTTCAAATTTTTATTCTTGAACTCACTAGAGCAGCTTTGCATGATTCACAGTTCTGCCGGGCCTTGGTGCAGTGGAAGCAGGTGGACAGTGTTTCATTGCTCAGAGCCAGAGTTGAAATGACTATATTATTAACATCCACACTGTGTGTGTGTGTGTGTGTGTGTGTGTGTGTGTGTGTGTGTGTAGAAGTGATGTGGTTACGTTGGTGAACCATGAGCAGTTTAATGAAGAGGCAACAACAGGAAAAGATGTTATTAACAGAGACCCCTACATCCTGAAATTAAGATGCAGCAATACAGGTAGGATATGTTTGTCATGGAAACAAATGCAAGGATCAACAGGGAGTTAAGCTTGTGTGTAATCAGTGTAACAGCTCACTTTAAAGCTGATACTATGTCTTCTGTGGCCTTCCTGTTGGCTGCACCTTTATGTAACCTGATGTACAGATGAGTCTCTGGTCCAGGTTTTTTTTTTTAAAGCTGTGATAACCTAAATCTGTTTACACATTATGGGGAAGTGTGTATTTGTATGGAGAGAAAATCAGCTGGTTTTAACTTTAGGGTAATTAAGTAATATATAATTATTTCATAAATGTTATTAAAAGGCAATCAATAATTTGAACTAATTTACACTAATGTAAATAATCAGTAAGACTTGAATGTAGTCCTGCCCCCTGTGTACAGTCCCAGATACACTCAAGCACAAATTCACAACCAGGTCCTCAGGTGTCTAGCCGAGAAAGTTGAGTGCAAAAGGAAATCCATCAACGCTCAACCTTTCACGAACCAAGAGGAGCATCAGTTTTCATCAACATTTGTCCGGGAGGGAGACAAGCCGAGGACAAGCCCCTCAGCCCAGGACCTGGGCCCGCTGAAGGCTGCCAGGGATTGGCAGATGCAAGTGGACTTGGATCAGAGGCTAATTTTTCCCACAGAGATCGTAACAACTACTCTGCGACCAGACCTCGTCCTTTGGTCTAACTCTCAAAAACATGCGTATGTCATTGAGCTGACGGTACCGTGGGAGGAAGCAATTGAGGAAGCATTTGAGCGGAAGAAGCTGCGCTATGCCAACTTGGCAGTTGAGGCAGAGGACACAGGCTGGAAGATCAAGGTGCACCCGGTGGAAGTGGGGTGCAGGGGCTTTGTTGCCAGTACAACAGCCAAACTGCTTAGAGAGATTGGGATCAGAGGACACTGCTGAGAGGACCAGTCACTGGCTATGCCTAAAAAGGGCTGACATCACTTGGGCAGTTAAGGCAGTCAGCTAACTGCGAGAGAAAATAAATATTCTCCTCTTTTCCCCTCTGCTCTTCTTCCCTTTTCTGGGAGGCAGTGGGGAGGTAGAGCGTACAGCCCAATTCGGCGGGGAGGTGTGGAAAGCCAGCCCCAGCCCCCCTTCCAGCTCTCTTCTCTGCTCTCTCCTATCTTGTCCCTCTTGTCTTACTTCTCTCTATCACCTTTTCTATCCCTTTGAAGAAGTGAGGCTCCATAAATGCTAAAGAGGTAAGTATTATTTCTCAGTTGCAGTGAATAGACAGAAAATAAACTGTAGAAAACTAAACAGAAGAAAGAAGAGAAATAACAATTTAACATAAACCAGTGACACACTCCAGGGCCTGATCAACCCTGGCAGGGCCTCGGTGGATGAGGGTGTTTAGTGATAATGGCCAAAACACCCGATGAATCCAAGGTCCACAATTGACAATGTGTCCCAAATTTTAATATGATAATCTAGATCAGATCTCTAATTCCTGAACCTAACCAAGGAAGAAAAAATGGCAGATTAGCCTGGGTAAAAGACCGAAAGTTGAGGCACACAACAATGTGTGCTGCTGGTAAAGTTTCTGGGCTGCCTTTCCTCATAACAGAGATCCCTCAAGAGTCTCTCCATTTAAAGCAATGCATTATCAGGGACTGTAACATCTAGTCCTTTTACTGAGTCATGGATGTAAACTATGTGTATTTGTGTTCTCGCTGTAGTTGTGGAGGACCTGGTGATGATCCCAGTTCACACCAAACCAAAGGACTCTGTGAAGGAGCTCGATGAACTATACGATGTCGTCATGTTTGTTAAGACGGACTGGAATACTGATGTAAGGAGAAATTAGAGAGTGTCTAAAGCTTTGCAGCTTGGGTTGGTTGCACAACAGAGAAAGCAGGAATTCATACTTCTGTGAAAATTTGTAGATTTTGACAGAGTTGTGTAGCAAAAGGCGTATGAACCAATCCAACCACTAAACTGGGAAAACAAAACAAATATATATTGAGGAGTTAAAGCAAAACACTCAAGTGCAAATATTTCATGTCTGTGCTGCAGAACATTATGATCTTGGGTGACTTCAATGCAGACGGCTCGTACGTTTCCGACCATGACATGAAGACCATTCGCATTCGTAAAGACGAGAACTTCCACTGGCTGATTGGAGATAACGTCGACACTACAACAAGCACCAAGAACACCAACACCTATGACAGGTAATGCATAGCAGCTACTGGCTGCAGCTTTATTTTGAATCGACAGACGTGAGACTGGTATCGATCTGTTCGTCAGCAAGAAAATAAACACATCACGCTGTTTCTTCAAATTATCTGAAATAAGGAGGAGTAGATTCTTTTGTTTTGCCACATTAAAATGGAGTGATGCTAAATGTTCTTGCTTTTTTCTAATTATGTATTTAAATTTGGTATTATGGGTTTTTAAAATAAGTCTTTTTCTCTATCTGCGTTAAGGATCGTGGTCTATGGAGATGACATGCTTAATGCTGTGGAACCAGAATCTGCAAAAGCCTTCAACTTCAAGGAGGAGTTTAATCTCGATGAGAAGCAGGTCTGTTTTGATTAATGCTTTTCACCAAATGAATTACTCTTATATTCTCTGCCTTATTTGCAATATCACACGTAGAATATGATTAGTCAGAAGGGTTTTAGACACTAAATTATAAGGCAGATAATTGTGTTTTTGTCACATCACTCAGTCTGTTTAAAGATCACTGAAATAGCTGGACATGAAAAACAGAACTCGGTGTGTAAAAGCTGGCATGGTTGCTTAAAGACGGTACCAAAGTACAGCTGCGGTACGGTGTTATGGCTTTAATTAAAATTCCTAAGAGGCCGTCAATCAATGGCCACAAAAATGTTGAAAATCAGCAAGCTTTCAACTTTCAAAAAGAGAGGGTTCAGTGATGTGGGACCTTTATTCTTACAAACAAAAGGTTAGGGTAAATTATTAACAGTGTCACAGTCACCAAGTGTCCTTGGTAACTCTATGACAGGGGTGTCAAACTCAAATACGCAGTGGGCCAAAATTCAAAACTGGAACAAAGTCGCGGGCTAACATGAATATTTATTGGAAAAAAAAATCTTCCTCCAGATATAAGAATGAATCTTTTCTTATGGACTCAAATAAGTTTTGCTGGAAAACTGAATATGGAACAAGCATAGCTTAATACTAAACAATATATATATTAGCTGTATAATACCAGTAGGCCAGCTCTGATAGTAATTTGGTATGGCTTCGCGGGCCAAATGTAATTAGGCTGCGGGCCATATTTGGCCAGCGGGCCAGAGTTTGACACCTATGCTCTATGACCTGGGTTTGACAAAGACTCTACCCTTGGCCTGTCAGCTCATTGTCTTTGAAAATGTAAACCACTGCAGTATGGAAAGTATCCATACTGTCATAATGACAGTATGGATACTTTCCATACTGTCTGTCATGTTTGCGGCTGTGTGCAGGCAGGATGAGGACCCAAACGCAAGCTCACAAAGGCAGGAATGAACTCAAAAACACAGCTTTATTGCTGGAGAGAAAAGAGAGACAGCCTGAGGAGAGCACAGACATAACAGGCTGGGGAAAACATGGAATAAAACACAAGGAGGGGAAACGAGGGCTCACAGATATACAGAGGGGCACACGGGGGGTAATCAAATAAGGAACATCTTAACAGAACAACCTAGAAACCACGGCATAGATAAAGAACAAAACCCAAAACACATGAAAACTAAGAATGCTGGGCCAACATGGCCCAGGATCATGTCACTGTCATTAGGTTTTGCCTCTTCAGGCTGAACCTGCACACCAGGTGCACAGCATCAAGCTCTCACCCCAGACCTAACCTTGTCCCAGGAGGGTAAACTGGTCCCTTGAGTGTGTCCTCATAGGGTTTTGTGAAAAACTCTCTTGGCCTCTTACCCAACACCATTTTGCTTTTGTAAGACCCTAGCAACCCCAGACAACATACCCCATGCACAAACCGCTGATTCATGGGGACATTCAGCTAGACCTCGATATTTGTTCAAAAACTATTAATCAGTACATTTTGTTTCTTTTGCAGGCTCTGAAAGTGAGTGACCATTATCCAGTGGAGGTTGAGTTGAAGTCCATAGTTGAGACAGATGAAACAAACGGTAAGCAGGATATTTATACATATCCAAGGCTTATGTACCATAATACTACAAGACCTGTTAAAATTGTGAAGTCAGTTTTTCATTCTTATTAAGAAATGTTTTTTTTTTAATCTTTCCCAAAAATGTAAAAAATAAAACTTACACACGTTTTAGACATTTGTTAGAAAGATATGCTTACGTTGAATATATGCAGATTATGTTCAGAGAGTGAGTTCAAAATCAACTAGATGCAGAATTTGTTTTTTCCTGACATGTTCAAAGTGTGATATGAACTTTCTGCTCAAAGAAAATATTTATACATGCAAACATGTTTAAAATTAATTAATTAGAGCAAATTAATTGCAGCCAAAAAGCCGAAAGGAAAACCCCCCGCCTACGCATTCTTTGTTGCGGACTTCTATAAGGAGCACAAGAAGAAGCACCCAGAAGCCAAAGTAATATTAACAGAGGTTTCCAAACTGTGCTCAGAAAAATGGAAGTCCATGTCACCTGAGGAGAAGGCAAAGTTCAAAGAGATGGCCAAGAATGACAAGCGCCGGTATGACCAGGAGATGAAGTCCTATGTACCACCTGCAGGTGCCAAGAAGGGCAAGAAGAAGAAGAAGAAGGACCCCAACGCGCCCAAAAGGCCACCTTCTGCTTTCTTGATCTTCACCTCTGAACACCGTGAAAAGATCAAGGCGGATAACCCGGTGATCTCCATCACTGACATCGCCAAGAATTTTGGTGAGATGTGGAAAAAGATGAGTACCACAGAAAAGGCCCCCTATGAGGCCAAGTACGCCAAACTGAAGGAAAAATATGAGATGGAAGTGGCTGCCTACAGAGCCAAAGGCGCCAAGAATGTGGAACCAGCTGACGACGATGATGAGGATGAAGACGATGAGGATGAAGATGATGATGACGAGGATGAAAATGATATTGACGGGAAGATGGCTAAGTCGTTTCTGTATTTGAGGATGTGAAGTTTGTGATGCGTTTGTTTGTTTATGTTTGTTTTTGTTTTGGGTTGGACGAGTTCAGCAGTATAACCTGCTGTCCCTGTCGGTTGACCTCATTTGAGCTGTACTCTTTTTCTAATTCAGGGTGTTAGATTTATATTGTTTATTGTCATTTATGCTTAGAAATATTTAACCATATATGCTTAGAGGTGTATAATCGATTGTGTAGTGATAGGATGTGTGATCTTTGGCAGTCTGCATAGGCTTGGTGTGCATTCCACAGTGTTCTGGCATTCACACCCACATTCTGGGAGCATGGGAGAGGTCATACCTTCTCTTATTGTTTTATGGTAGGATAAACTGTCTGTATCTGTTCTAGTCTAAGTGCTTTTTGTTTAGATGAACTGCTGGACTTCCAAACCAGCAGGGTTAGGGAAGTTATTTATGGGGTCACACTCTGACCCCACCCCCCCACACACACACACTTACACAACGCACAGGCAAGGTACTCTTTGTGTGTATGTATACGTCGTATGTTAATGCACCTATGCATATTCATGTAACCTCAATAAAAGAGCAGTGTTACGGGGGAGAAGATGAGAGCAACTGGGGACAAGCGAAGGAACGGCGTTTGTCATTCTCTCCCGTGCACGAGAAACATGAAAAACTTTGCCTACTCGTGTCTTGCTTTGCTGTGTAATTAAATTGTCCTTAACGTTCCAGCGAATAGGTTTATGCTACAAACCTATCACAGGGATTTAGTTTTTGTCACTTAGTCCCCTTTAAGATTTATATTTTAAAATTTTCTACTGTAATGAAATTGTATATATTACCCATTAAAAAAAACTGACTGTGAAGCTATGCTTTTAACACGACACAATTGAAATAAATATTAAAATCACAATTTTACAATTTATACTATGTATTTATTGGGACAACAAAATCCACAAGATAAGAGTTACTTTAAAGGAGATGGAAATATTGGAAAAGTGATTTCATACAATAGCGTTAACACATCTGTTCTCAGGCTCAGCATTACTTATAATTGTTAGCTAGAGTCTAACTCATGGTTTAATAAACAGGGTTGTAGCTTTCAAAGACTGTATAGATGAAAGACGGAAGGTGTGCCACTGTGACATCATCCACTGATTTGCAAAGTGCTATTGCCTACCACTTTCACCAAAGTCACAAGTACGCGGTAGATCTTAACATGAAATCGAGTGATCTAGCGTAGCTTTTTCACATTAATGGAGAACATAATTTACAAAATAAACATATCGTGTTCAGTGAAACTTGAAACTACCAATTGCGGCCATGAACTCATTAAAGTATTTACTAAGGTCAAAAAGGAAAAGCAGTGAGCGCTTTCCTTTATAATCCTTTACAATCACTACTCTTTCTGCCACCCCCTGCTGGCTATTAGACCTGTCTCCAGACATGTCTGCACTGGCTTCACTTTTCAGACTGAAGCAACATCTTTTATATACATACTTTGAGAGCAGTTTCTATTGCTGAATGAGAAATATTGAGTTGAAAAAAATGCTACAAGCATGTATGTGCCTTTTTGTTTAATCTGTATGTAACTACAACACTTCAGTTGTCTCTTCAGTCCTAAAGTGCTGTTGTTTAATTTAATAAAACCAGAAACAGATTAAACATTTTAATAGCATTTCAAATAAAGCTTCATCACTACTGTTATTTTAAACACAGCTTGATAATTAAGCTTTAAGTGATTTCTTACCAAATATTTTTAAAAAGAACAAATAATAACAAGCATTAATTAAAAACAAAAAACTTTATTGGCATCTCCTGCTTTACAAGATAACAAAACTCATGGACTTGGGCTGGTTTGTGATGGTTAGAAATTTCATTTGGACACAAAATGCAGTGGACATTAGTTTTACAGTCCTTCTAAATCTTAAGCTGCAGGCCTTTATTTCATTTCATAACTAGATTTAAAGATATTGGTCAATATACGCTGATCAGCCACAACATTAGAACAGGATGTCATCGCCTACCTAAACATTGGTGCATGGCAGCAGCCTCCTCTAGCAGGACGATGAACTATACACAAAGCAAAAACTGCTTAAGAAACATGAAGGTGTTGGCCTGGCCTCCAAAAATACCCAGACCTCAATCTAATCAGGCTCGATGGGCAGAAAGAGCCCAAAGAGATCCACTGCCAACGCCTCCACACAATAATGATTTGTGGCTGATCTGTGTGTATGAGTGAAACATCACAGTTGGAGGGCCATTGTCCTTGAAAACCTAACATCATTAAATTTATTCCCTGTACTACTCCACTAAAGGTTGAGCACCCGAGCAGGTTTTGAGTTTGATGCGGTTTATTTTTTAACGAGCAAAACAAACTGTAGTCTTTCAGCAAAAAGACGAAGGAAGCGAGAACAGGATCAAACAAAAATCAGCAGCTCAGGTTTTACTTCTTCCCAGATTTCTTGATGCCACCTCCAGCTGAAAGAGAGAGAAAGCAAACAAAAAGATTGGATGTTAGAAAGCATCTAATTAAAACTGCAGCCACAACTGTGACCAGTGAGATTTCAAGTTTGAAAATATATTGATGACTGAAAGACTTTAAAATGAGAGGTTTTCTCAAACAATAACATAAATTTACTTTATTTTTTCTAAAAGAAGAGATCACTGCATAAAGGCATGCATGCTTATAAAAAGTCTGAAATCAAAACAAAATAGCATAAACAAAGTATAAAATATTTGAATTTTAAAGGAGACGCAAACATCAGAGAGACATGAGGTCTACTTTGGACTAAATTTGCTGCAAGTTTGGGGTTTGTTTCAGTTTCCTGACCTGCAGAGAAAGTACAAGCTGTACAGTGAAACACCAGGGCTAACCTGAGGCTTTCACTGTAGCCATGGTAAGAAATGTTAAGCAAGGTTAAGCTACCAAGTTGACAAACATCTGAAAGCAGTCTATGGACGGAAATAAGAAAATTGAAAAAAAGTGAACCCTGAAAACTGAAATGGCTACAGAAATTGGCAGATCACCTGAATCCTGCAGCTCAGCACTCTGCTGAAGTCACTGTATTCCTGAACTCTCACTGTGTGCTGGTAACGTATCAGTTATAGAAACACCACAGCTGGTGTGTATGATCATGATGTGTATGTTTGGAAATATGTAAGGTTTGTCATTATGAAACAAAATTAATAAATTCAACCTGATCCGGATTTTTTCTGTTTCTATATACGTGGGATGGTCTGGTGATTGAATGTTGGGTGGATATAGACACAAAGGTTTTATAGTGTGTGGGTTTTCTTGGTTTGTTTTTTGTGCGTGGGACTGGGGCTGGAGGTTTTCAGGTATTATTGGTATTATTCATGTATTATTGGTATTATTCATGTATTATTGGTATTATTCATGTATTATATTACTCCACTTGTAACTTGTGCTTTGAGTATGTATTTTGCATTTTATCACTCCTGTGTGCACCTGATCACGGAGCAGTGTAGCAGTAGTTGCGGGAGTACATAAATCTGGTGCATTTCTTCACTTCTTGTTTTTGTGCATAATTCTTTACAAATACAAACACAGCTCTTACTTAAAGGTCCTTTTCCTGATGCTTTGGCTTTCAACGCATCCAGGGCCTTCTGTTCGTCCTTCTGCTTCTGCTTGAAGGCTACATCATCCTACGGAGACACATACAATCTAAAATCTTTCTACGCTTCTGTCTTATGCTCAGCTCATTCCAAGCCACAGCTGACATTTACCTCTGAATATTTCTTCCCTTCAGTCAAATAACAAAAATTTATATTTCATCTGATTTCCATTTATCAGATTCTCAGCTGACACCTGAAGACATCGCACTGGGTTGTGTAACAATGATTTGATTTGATTTTGTTATCAACAAGTTAAGGAATACATTTTTATCACCAGTTCTAATTTTCAATGGGCATTAATACAGGTTACTAAAGCAGAATTAAATGACAAAGTAGATCACAAAAAATATAAAGGGTTAGCGAAATGATCCATACATCAAAGTTTATGTATCAAATTATCTGTGAAAACAGCTTTACTTTAAAAAATAAACAAAAACGAAATGTATAAAATATTGCAATGATGCAATGTAAATGTCTTCTTATCCATGTTATCTTGATTACAAAGGGATGCAAATGATTTAGGGGCTTGATATTAAATGTTTTACACAGTCTATGGTGAGGGGGGAAAAGAGCCAGATACATACGTCATCCATGTCCTTGTTCTGTTTCTTGGGAGCCTTCAGTGGTTTCTTTTTACCTCCTGAGAAATAAAATTTACATAGATACATAAATACAGTGAGAGCAAAATGAAACTCAGAACTATAAAAGTAAATTAATAAATAACACAATAAGTAGATACAAAATATGAAAACGTAAGCTAGGCAAACGTATTTAAAGAACAGATCCACAAAGTAAAAGTATACTAATAAAAACAGTGGGGAAAAAACTGCATTCTATAACAATGGACTACAATGTCTGAACGTTTCTCTTTAAAATAAATTGACTAAGTTTAGACAATCTTCATTACCTTGTTATGAAAATAAAATAGAAAATATAACTAAATCTACAATATCTAATAAACAATAGTCAGTGAATAAAAATGAAATATACGAAGGAATATGATCCAAGTTACGTCATTACGTCAACACAGCGTTCTTGACTTTTTTTTTTTTTTATTGTTTGCTTGGAAAAAAAATTAACCTAAACTCCTTAAAATCTGCTTTAACTTAAATGGCAGCCAGATGACCGCGAAACCTTGAGCCTCGAATACAAACGTTAGTTACCACCACGGGTTATTCGAAGAAAGAAGAAGGAATATATTTAAAATTTTAAATATTTCGTTTATATTGTCTGTTGCCTGAGAGAATATTTATAAGCCGAATGGTCCATTCGGTCCCAATAATTTAAAAATGGCCTGAAAATATCTTCTATCTTCCGTATGTATATCCCAAAACAGAAAAAAAATCGTAATATGGCACATTTTTAACTGCCGATTGGTCAGAGAAAACGTTATCTTTAGCGGCAGCTAGCATTAGCCCACTATAAACGTGCTAAACTGAAAATCGTCAGTATCTTTTAAGATGTGCAGATTTTACAGACGAATCTCAAATGAAGCAATCTCCCACCTTCTCTTCCAGACATGGTTACAGTTTGTTATAAAATTTAAAGGAAAGGAAAGTTTGCTGCGAAGACAACTGGTACTTCTCGCTAATCCGCGCTGTTAGGTCCCCGTTGAACCGGAAATAGAATGACCGCTTGTTGCCTGTCTCAAAGAAAATTCTTGACATCAATATGCTACAATGCTGTTACCCTAAAGAAACGTAATTCGTGTCTTATGCGTCCGCTGACATAATTGAAGAAAACGGGTATGTTTGCTCTGTTATATCGTTTTGTACATAACAGTATCATCAGAGTCCCAAAACAGTTTAAAACTTATGAAAAGTCAGCTAGCCGGTAGCTACATGGAGCAACATCTAGTTAGCTAGGAAGTAGGTAACCTTGGTGGAAAAGTACTCTTGATATATTTAAAATGATATCCAGACATTTTTTGAACCGAATCTGTGACAAAGTGCAGTGCTCGTGAGGTCCTGCACCCACTGGGAACGAGTTTGACTTATTATTGGCAGACTAAGCTCTCACTGTGCCTGAATGGCCTTTGAAAGCGTGCCTATAACCACTACTACTAAGCAGGATTTCTGGGAGATTTAAAAGTTATCCGAAGAAGCTCCATATTACTAGATGGTCTGTCTTCTACAACAGCACACCCCCTGCTGACTGCCTTATGCAAGATGCCACAAATCTTATAAAGCTTATAGTTAATCAAATTAAATTGTTTTCCCTTTATTCTCCCAGGTGCCTGTTCCAGTGTTGGCTGCTGTGACGGTCAATCTCTGACTATTCTTAACCTGTACTGCTGCTGCTCTGCTCAATGAGGTACTGGTGTGAGCATTGTATCTGTATTTGTGATTGTAAATATAACTGGTTAATGTTATCTTTACTCTGTCAGGTACAGAGGGGCTCAGATCTATCTCTGGGTTCATGGCTCATGCTGTCTGTCCCGCTACTCACTGCCTGGCAAACTCACTCAGGTACGAACCTACAGTGCTCTCCATCAGCCTGGTTCATCACCGCCACCACCTCCAAACAAGCCTTCCCCTTCTGAAGGGAAAAAAGGATCAGAGCTTCTGAAGGAGCGTGCCTTGACTGTCTTACAGGTACAAAAAGGATCTTCTTCTTACGGTAACAGCAGAACTTCAAAACACAATGAAACAAATTTGAACACTGTCATCCTTTTTCTCTCTTCTCTTTATCTTTAAGCATGCAGGTGAGTTTGGGCGGCAGTGGAGTCAGAGGTCGGCTCAAGCAGCCACTGCCACAGTAAACCACTGGTGGGAGAAGTATGAGGAGTTTGTGGGGCTGAATGAGGTCCGCGAGGCTCAGACAAAGGTCACTGAGGTCAGTAAAAACACGGCGTCCAAGTTTAGTCTGTGCCGACATGACTTAGTGGATAATGAATAAGGAATGTCAGGTGCTTGTTATACAGTTCTCTGACAGATCTTTGTATTTTCCAGGCTGAGGCAGCATTCATGGTGGCCAGAGGGATAGTTCGTGAGGCTCATGCTAGCCTGGAGGCTCAGCA